GACATACATTTTTACAATTTATCATCTAACAAATTTTCTCATCCTATCAGGTCGGCAAAAAGACTTGAACAAAGGTGAGCGAGAAGAGTCCCCTGTGCCCCGGCATTGGTTTTGTAGCTCAAACGAAAAGTTTTGAATGGCAAGAAGCGAAAAGAATTCCGGCCACGCTACTTATTTCCTATTCACACTTTAATAAAAAAAAATTACTTGCCGTTTCATACGCGTCAAGGAATTTGCGCGCTCTTGCTTTTCTTTCTCCTTCAAGTTCAGAGACAATAATGTTTCGAAGGGATTTAAGATATGAATCTATTTCCTTACTGAACGCATCCTCTTTACATTCCTTTAAAATTCGGTAATGGTCCACTCAGAAGATTTTCGATTAAAAATTTCATGTACGAACATGGTATATAATCCGAATGTCAGGGGTAGATCACATGTCTAATTCGGTTGGACAAGATTTTATGATCGCTGAGATAATTAATTAATTAACATTGTCAACGACTTTATTGTTAAAAAACACATTTATTTTTCTTGATCTAGGCTTGCTCAAAGAACGAAAATAATCAAAAAAAAATAAGTCATATGTATTTTCTACTCTGATCGCGAGATTACACGTTTTAAAAACTTTGATAACACAAAACAAAAAATAAAAAGTTTATTTTTCAAATAAAATGAACTGGTTTTGTTCGTCTTTATTATAATACAATATTTATCATAACGCTTTATTAAATATGAATACATATACAATTTACATATATCAAAACAAAAACACGAAAACTAGTAATTTTTTATTTGTTTACCCGACCTTCCTAAAACAAATATATGCACACGCAAACTAAATAAAAGGGAAGAAAGATATCCTTACCGTAAACCTACAAAAAATTGCGGGGCCCTTAAAACCTAAACCGAAAATCGAAGAAACGCGGGCTGACGGACGGACGGATAACCGACTAAGAAGATATAACGAAAATAGGAAGAAGGATAGAGGGATAAGAGAAAAGAAAAAATTTTGTTAAAAGAAAATGTCATATAATAGAACTATTAAAAAAACGACTTTGAAGTTTTTATGTGCATATATTTGTCGGGAAGTTGCAGAAGAGAAAAAAAAAATAAACGAAATAAAAAGTATAATCCTTATATATCCGCGATAAAATATTTTGGGGTACAGAAATTTAGGATGGGGGTGTAGACCTTTATCCTAAACCGGGGTGTACTATAAGATTTGATGAGTTTTATTGGCCTGATTTGTTTGTGTTATATATATCTTAGAATTTTCGCGATGTTTTCAAAGAAAAATATAACGAAGAAATACTCAACTTAAACAAATTTTGCAGTATTTAGTACGGAGTTTTAAAGGAAAAGCGAAGAAAATATTTCTCGCAACTTTTTATTGAGCAAAAACAAACTTGTTAAATACATAATTTACATTTTACTATATCTTTTACTAATATAATATAACAACCATATAATAAATGGAGTAGTAAACGAAGTAAAAAAAAAATTTAAAAAAAATAATCTTATCATACACCCCGGTTTAGGACACCCCCACCTTAGGGTTAAGGATGCTGATGAATATGCTTAATCGCTAAGACGTGAAACTTCAAAATTTCGATTGGATGAATTATTAACCAATTATCATTTACGAAATTTTTAATCGAAAATTCGACAAAAATTTATATAAACAAAATTTATTTTTGCCTTAAAATATGTTTTTGTCATTAAATTTTCATTTAGATTTATACGTTAAAGTAAGATTTTATTTAATTTCATATAACTTACTTTCGAAATCTTAATAAAAATGCTATTTTTACTATTACATTTTAATTTGAAATTGCCTAAATTCATAAGAATTATTCATTGAGTTAAATTCACAAAATAAATTCACAAATATTTACGATATTTTTAAAGCACATTGACCTTAACATTTTCTAAAAAAACAAACATCCTTCTAAAAAATACATGTTATAAAGAAATAATCTAAATTTTACAAATAAAAAATAAAATTATCAAATGAAATTACTGATCTTTGTTTCAATTTTCCGAACCATATTCTCAATTAATAAAAAATTTTGCTCTACTCCTTTAATCTATTGAGAATTTTTAGCTTCTTTATGTTCCTTTAAAAAACCTAAGGCTTTTTCTGTTACATTAATAAGTTAGTTATAATTGTAATTCTTACAATAAAACTTATTTTATAAGGAATTTCAGATATACTTTCTTTTATAAATGGATAATTATTATTTCGTTAAATTTCGTGAAAAAATTCTGCCTTTATTACCCTTTAACTGAATCAAGTATTTGCAAATCATAAACTGATTTGTTAAAAAATATGATTTTTCCGCCCATATAAGATTTGTTGAAATTTTTGTTCCTGAAGTGGTATTATTTTTAACAAGATAAAATAAGTAATAAGATCAAGACGAGAATGAAAGAATTTATATAAAAATCCCATTTCAAAGCTTTTCAATGACTCTCAATAAGTATTATTATTTTGAGAATTGAAATATTTTCATGAGCTGATCGTGCCTATAATTTTCAATAATCATTATTGTACCATTTTTCCACAAATATACCATAAGACATATTAAAGAATGCTATTTACAAAAGTTATACAGCTTTGCTCTCTTATTTAAGTACTTGTTAAATATTTCTTAATTTTTTATATTAAAGAATATTGATGAAAATGTTTATCTATAATTTCCAGACATTTTACGCAATTCTTTTGGACAAAGTTTTTCTTATTTTATGTCTATTGTTGACGCAAATGTGTTTCAAGGACCGCAATATTTACTGGCAATCCTACATTCTCCTTGGTTCATATAGGAATCACATGATATTATTCATAGTGTCTTTATTCCAATAAGGGGAAGGATGATCATTTCTTTTGAACTCGCATCTTTCCATTTTTTTCATTTTCAACAAATAATTCGGCATCCTTTTTACCTTTATCAACGTTTACAGTTAATATGATAAGGATAGGAAATACCATGGAAAATAATACATACCAATAAGCATTTCTTAAATTATGAGTCAAATCCCCAATAATTCCCACCATCAAGGGACCTAACCAACTTGATCCCTAAATAAAGCAAAAAAAAAAAAACCAGAGCAAAATTAGGTCTAATTCATCAATACTCTAAATTTGAACTTTTCCCAAATACCTTATCCGTAATTTCATATAAACTAAAAAATTCATTTTCATGACCTTTAGGTATCATACTACCAAAGAAAACTCTACAATAACTTTGTACCGCGCCAAGCAAACTACCGAAATAAATGGCGAATAACCAAATTTCCCACGAGTATTTAAAACCGAATGGTGCGATAAATCCCAACAATGCATACAATGGTACTAAAGAGTGTAATGATGCGGTTATTATAATCATCGTCTTTGTACTCAAATTAAAGTACAATTGTATCTTCAGGAAAACATAAGCCCCGATCATTGCACTAATAGGAATTACCATGGCTGCTATCAATAATTGCACTTGAGATAATCCAAGTTCCTTCTTTCCGAATAAGGTTGCAACTGTTGTGATGGTACCATATCCATCTGAGAGTATAAACCATGCGACTAAAAATTTAATCGTTTCCACAAGATGTCTTGCGGACCTTATAATGGTTCCTACTCTAATAAATGAATATGTAAAGTAACTTTGATTCCTTTACATCAAAAAGATTTTTAAAAGGTTAACAAGTTTATAATAACAAAAAAAATTAAATAAATACGATGATTCTTTACATTAATTTTATAACTTACTTTGGTAAAGGAGGACCAACCCGATTTTTCATCCATAAAACGGGAAAAGTTAAGAATGATACCCACCAAATCCCAACGATAACACAACCAATTCTTAAACTTAATATTTTGTCTTTCATGATTAAAGCAAATATGGAACCAATTGCTAATACAAGTACACCCGCGGGTATACACCATATCAAGGAAATAACTGATAATTGGTTGGAAATCTTTTCTTCAATTTTATAAATTTCTTCCTTGGTGGCATCATCTTTTTCATTATTATTTCGTTTAACTTGCATTACTTCTGGATGAATATGTGTGTACACAGGTATATATGCTAACCAAAATACCGTTGCCGCTCCAAAACAAACATTTCTTCGAAAATGAATTCAAGGAAGAAGGAAAGCATGAATATTTGTGATTGAATTATCCTTGCAGAAATTAAAAGCGAAATCTACCAATTAACACTTACGATAAGATGGTCAGTAGTCCAGCTAACCAATACATATTAGGTTCAAGGACCAATATGTAAGCAATTGTAAATAGAGCTCCGGCATATGAGAATCCTATAAGCATTTTTTTTCTATTGTTTCCATAATCCGCTAACGATCCACTTCCAATGTATACAATACATTGTGCTAATACCGATATTGCAATTATATAAAACGAATAACTTGTTGAATCAACAAACCAAAATCCAAATTTTGTTACGCATTTATAATTCTCTACTTCCTAAAAATAATTTATGTCAAGGAAACCTTTAAGGGAACAAAAAAAAGGGCCAAAAATAATGTCCAAAGGTGGAGAAAATTAGACACTTACGATATCACATGGAACATCTCTATCATCCAATTTGAATCCTGCTTGACTTGAATAAGTTTCCAATATAATAGGAATGAACACTAAATCAAATAAAAATTAGGTTATATAAAATAAAATACATTCTCTCAATGAATAATCTTACCTGACATTGCAGCAATAACATATGGTTCATTCTAGTTTTAATAACTATTTATCATTAGAAAATAACTTTTTTTTTTTATCCATTTCGTTAAATCATTAACTTACCGCCGTAGATGCCAGATACCATCCTTTTAATTCTCTTGTAGAAACAACTTCTAAATCTTGATGATTATCGTCAATTCCCTTCTCTTCGTTTAACATATCCACTGAGTTATATAAATCGATGTCGTTTATATATGAATATCTATATATTTAACACTTATAATAACGAATTTTGATTAAAAAAGAAAAAAAATAATATTTTTTGATTTTTCAAAGTTTTATTTTATAACGGGAGAGGTGATTGTTTCAAATCATGTTGTGATTAGTTTATTCCAAATCAAGCGAAAAAGGAAGTTGATTAATGAAATGAATTTTATTATAGATGCGTTGTTTATTCGTTCTTTATATAAATTTTTTTCACCAAAAAAAAAAAAAGATCTCGTATCCAATCCATTTTACTATTGCATCGAATTTTTCTCCGTTCTTAAAATCAATAAAAAGATTTATGGTTTGTATCACATGATTTTTGCACAAATAAAAACTAGAAATAAATTAGAAATTTTGATTATTGTCAATATAAAAGGAATAAATCTAGAAAATTTTTTTAAACTTTATTTTCAGGTTAACGACTATTTTAGCCAAGGTTCATTTTCCGATTTACATCATAAAACTGGTCAAAAAAAAAAGGTTCGGAAAACTTACTGTATTTTAATTACGATTTAAATTTATTACTTGTTTTGTAATAGCTCGAATTAGATGAACGTTTAAATATACCAATAGAAACAAAATCTTTTTTAAAGATTGAAATTAAGGAAAAGCATTATATCAAAAAAATAAAAAAAATAAAAATTTATCCGTATTTGCCAAAATTAATCATATTAATCATATTCCAATACAATATTAAATTTGTTTTTATACATCCGGTGAGATTATAATACAAAAAAAAAACTAATTTTACAAAAAAAAAATTAAATTACAAACAAAAATTAAATGTTTTTAAAATATTCCCAAACATTGTTCGTATATAAAAGACTTTTAACATTATATTCCCGACAATTTTCATGAGCCTGTGGCATAATTATATTTCTTAATATATTCTTGTAATCTAGGCGATAGTATAGGTTTTGGTGGTTCCGTTATCTTAGCTGTTAGTCTACCTTCTTCCTCATTTTCTTCATTTTCTTTGTTTCCTTTCTTTTTCCTTTGATTAATGTAAAGTATTTCTTCAAGATTATCCTTGTCACTTAACGCTACAATTGGCTTAGCAATTGTATTGTTTAGATAAGTTGTCGGAGATGCTAATACTTTCATGGGATCAATTGGGGGACTGGACGACATGCTTGTATTTACGTTTTCATCAGATTTGGTGGAAATAGGAACAGGTGTTGTAACTTGAGCTGATGTTGGGGCAGATTTTTTCGTCGGCACAGCTGGCGGGATAGCAAGTTTGTAAGTCACTTGATTAGAGGAAACATTTTGATTATCATTATGATTCTCCGATGCTTTTAACTCATTTTTAATCATTTCAGCAATTTTAGGATCATCTTTCGCAAGAGTATTAAGTTCCAATGGTTTACGTTGAACATTAAATCCTTTTTGTTTTGGTGGGCTAGTACTTGGAGAAACAGGTAAAGTTTTCTTAGGAAATACTACTGGAGCAGGAGCTGGAGCTGGAACTGAAGAAGGCGGTGAAGACATTCCGAAAGGTTTTTGTCCTAAAGCAGCAAAAATTGATGCCTTGGTTATTGGTATTGCAGGAAAATATGAAGATTTCTGTGGAATAGCTGAAGGTGTATCCGATTTTTCAGTCGAGATAGGTTTGGATGGTGTAGGTGGATCGTTATTTACTGAGCTGGTAAAAGTATTTTGAGGCGGTGAATGTGAAATATTATTAGATGGGTTTTCCTCTTCCTCTATAATCGGGCTACTGGTTGTTATTGTTTTCTGGGGAACGGAAGTTGGAACAGCAGGTAGACTGCGACGCATTCTCGTTTTAGGAACTGGATTTTCATCTGGGTTAGGGTTAATTGATGAATTGTCCGTCATATTATTGTTCGCTTCTGCCGCTGGTGTTGTCGGAGGAGGTGGAAGCTGTTTACGAGGTCTATTCTTTGGAATTTCGTTGGATGCGTTCTGTTCAATACTTTGTAGTTGACTTTGATCGTTAGATGCACCATATCCAATCAAAGATGATCCCCATTTAAATAATGATGACAAATTTCCTCCCCCAGTGGCTGCGGCACTTGTATTAAAATTGTTCACAGGCGGTGTTTTAGGTCTTTCTTGTTCAAATCCGGGAACTTGAAGTAACTCCGAACTTTTCTCATCAATAACCTCAATTTCTTTAGGTTTTGGTGTCGGTAGAGGACGACCTTTAGGAATATGATCATATGCGCCGTTTGTTATAGATGATGATACTTCAAACGTATCGTCATGAATTGTAGGTATTGGCGACTTTTTTCTCATTAATAGAGTTAATCCTGAAGGACCTGAAGGTGAGGATACTAAACTATCATTTCGTTTAAATGAATCTGATGAAAAATCAGAATTTTGTATTGGAATATCAATTGGAGTGGTTCCTTGACCATTCGGAATATTTTTCCTAAACAATGGAGAATGTGAACGAGGTGAAGTGCCTGCAATTTCTTGGCTTTGATTAATATGTGCCCAAGGAGATTTTCCACCAGGTGTAGCAACAGGTTCTCCATCCGAAAAAGCTGGACTTGATCTTTCAGATTGATTATCATTATTATCAAGCCACTTTTGAACATTCTGTTCTGGCTCGGGTGGCGTATTAATAAACTCATATTCTGAAGTAGGTGGTGACAATTCCTGTGTTTCACTGCGTTTTCCATAACCTCCAAACCCCGAAGCTGCGCCAAAAGGGCGTTTTTGTATGGCTCCTTGTTCTTGCGTTGTAAAAGAAAGGTATCTTACACGTTCGATAGCTGGAATATACGCGTAAGGTGATGCAGGAGCTAACGGTGGTGATTTTGCAACAAGTTTTGATGGATTTGGTGGTGCCATTTGTTTTGGTCTTCCAAGCAAAGAAGTTGCAAAAGATCCAATTTTCTTTGGACTTGCCGAACCAAATATATATGATCCAGCCGAACTTTTCGTAGGTGAATAACGTCCACGACCATCCTCCTCTGCATTTGACCAAGGAAGCACTCTATCACCATTCTTTGATGGAATATTTACTGGCGTTGACACAAAACCTAAAACTTCACCGTCTTCTTTTCTGATATCTTCAACAAAAAAATCTACATTTTCGTCCATCATATTATAATGATTTGGAAATACATTTAAATCTGCATCAGCTATAGGAGCCGGTTGTAAAGATGCAGAATGTGCAATATAAACAGGAAGGTGAACTGTAAGATCCTTTCTATAAAATACAAATGAAATAAATAAATAAAGTAATCTTCTGATTGTTTTAAAATTGTCATGTATTCATCTTTACATACGTGAAAGGTCCCAAGTATAAAGATATTACAATATAACACACAACTTCGAATAAAGCCGTATTTCTTATGGTCTTTGCATTTTTCTAAATAAATATAAAATCTTTAATTTTCGAGGAAAATAAAAAAATAATAAATAAATAAAATTACAAAAAACCACACTTACAGGAACATTAATATGAATGGTCGTCGAACGATCCTCTCCACAATCAAATAAGTAATCCTTATTTTTAAACCATGCCTCAGCTATCGTATCTCCAACAATTTTAACCTCATCAATTTCTTTTTTGTTTTTATTAGCAAGAATTAAAAGTTTATGCGTGATAGCAATCTTTAATCCTTGAACCTAAAAAATAAATTGAATTCCATAGATTAAATGACGAACATTCTCTTTAGAAAAAAAAAATACCTAAACAAATTTTATTTACCCTTCTTTTGGTTTCATTTTTCACCCTAACTTGTACACTAACATTTCCACCACTTTGAAATAATGTCTCTGCCAATGTTCCTTCCAGTGTAACAGCACCCGTCCCGCCCATCCATAATTGTTTCATATTAACACCATCTACAGGTTTTTTGTAGATTGGATTATGTCCATCCCACGCCTCAACGACAAGGGCTTCTTTTGATCTTAATAGTGTATCTTCTTTATTATTGTTCTTAAATTGAACAACTCTTGATAACAAAATTTAAAAAAAAAAATTTATTAGGATGATCACATTTTTTTTAAACCCTCTAAATGATGAGAATTACTTACCCAGTTACAATATATTTTAGACATGCCAGGTTTCCATATTCAACAGAACTTGGCGCATCAACAGGAATTTTAAAAGCAAATGGAAAAGTGGTCTTTCCTTTTCTCGCTGTCCAATAACCATTTTCTTTTGGACCATGCACCGCATTTGAAGGTGGTAAATTTTCATTTTGAAAAACTAATCTTGAAGATAAAAAAGATTGTGAAGCAGTATACTCTTTTACAGATAATTCTTCATAAGCTGTTAGTTCTACCGAAATTTCTCCGAGTTTTAATGATCTTGCAGAAGAACTTGTTAATACTATTCTTCCAGTTAATAAACCACCTGCCGTATATATTGTAGAATCTAATAAAACGTGTAATTTTAATTTTGATATTTTTGATATGGCTGTGGTGGTTGGTTTAAAATTAATGTTTGCTTGTTCAGGTGGTAGTATAGTATTCGCTATTGCTGAAGAAGCTATAGTCGACGGAGGTCCCCCATTAATTGCGGATGGTACATAATCTTGATTTGTCGGAAATGATGAAACCGATACTGGACTAATACCAAATGGGTTTCGATCATCGGAGCCTCCACTTATAACGGACATCTTGGATAAAGCGTCTTTTCTTTACAACAAAAGATTAATATTTTTTTGTGCAAGAAAACAAACACTTTCGAGTCGAAATGAGAAAACCCCTTAAAATTCTTCCTGATCACGAGTATAATTCTAACATTAACGCAAGAAATTAATTTTCTTCGCCTTTTTATCATATTAAAGAAATTGATTTCTACATGTAAACTTACCTGTCAAAATCAAGATCAAAATCAAATGCGTATACGAATTGTGATAATATAAAGAAAAAAAGAAAAGAGTAAAATGTTCGTTATAATAAATAGCTGACTAAGAAAAAAATAATAATTTCATAAAGGTATATATCAATATGTCCAATTATATATATAAAAAAAAATGGAAATGAACTCCTTAATTGTGTAACCCCATGTTAAAGGGGATTCTATTTTATTTTTAGGAATGACCCTGCAACTTTATTCCTGTTTTTAACTCCGTATTTTTGGAATCGTAATTTATGTCATCTTTAATCTCCAGTGCATATGTTTCCTGCGGCATTAAAAAATGTTCAACAGTAACAGTAATATAAATAATAATAATAATAATAATAAAAGATTTCTGATATAAATAAAAAATAAAAAATCAACTGATATCATTTGTCAAGGCTTTTCTTAATAATAGACTATTCGATGAATATATCAACCTTTTCCTAAAGATAAAAGTTCCCTACATGTTTTTTCTGGCATTAAATTCCTAACCCTTAATGTGAATTATTTGGATGGGATTTCTCAATATTTGCTGTACCGTTTAATGACAGTGGAAAGAGAGTTAATAATAAGCAGAATCGTTTAAATTCATTTTATGCAATATAACAAAAACTAATTTCCTATTTTCAAAAGGTTTGTCCAGCCAAGAAATCATCATCATCGAACCCCAATTAAATCATATGTGAAGATTGCTATGAAAATCAGGTGCTGAGAATTTTTTTGACTAAAATTTAAAAAATTCCCAGAACCTGATTTTCCTTTGTATCTTTCCATATAGTTTTTTTTTGCCTCCTCTTAATTGATAATGCACTTTTTAGTTAGTTATTTCTTTGTTTCTTCCTTGCTAAGGTCATCGATTTTTATCACAAGCACTACGCGCTAAAATAGAATGCAATCGGACGTAATACTATTTCCTTCAAGAAAATCAAAAGTTGGCATATACTTACATTCCAATCTTTTTAGGGACAATTCCTTCGCTATTGACAAACTCAGCAACGTATCTTCTTTCGTCGGAATTATCCTTTGCACCATCTTGAAGGTTTTTCAGATTCTCATTAACTATTTAGCTGATATTATCATAAATTATAAAAGTCGGTTTATGATTCTTCAGAAAATTTTCACAACTGACCTCAATTGATAAGGAATTGGCAGATTCACTATTCACCCCCATCACAGAAAAAAAATATACAAATCAAGCCATGATTTTTGCATCATGACAAATGTGATCATTGCTGGATGATTCAAATAGCTCAAAATGGAAAACATTAAGCTATCTTGAATCAGATTCTATAAATTTCCATCCTTAATAATAATAAAAAGATTGTTTCTTAGCATTTATAAATTTAGATAATATTCTGTAAAAAATAATGTTAGATTTTATGATTGATAAAAATTTTGTTTCTAATTATTTGTTAATAAAATATTTTTAATGCTAGAAAATATTTTATTAATTTATTATTAAAATAATTCTATCAAGATATATATTATTTTAAATATATCGATCTATTTGATAATTAAAATTTTATATTGGATTAATCACTTCCTTTTCGTAATTTAAATAATTATTATGAGCATTTATTATACAGCCAATGATACATTTACTAAAAATACAAAATTATACCGGCAACATTTTTTATTTAATGATGACCATGGCCATGACCACCGACATTATTTGAAGATGGTTCATTTTCCTTTGAATTAGGTTTATCATCTTTTTTATCTCCACTTGAACCTTCATTTTCTCCAATAACTTTACCTTCCGATTCATCTCTTAATTGTTTCTGCCACATCTCAAAGTATACCCCTATAGAATATGTTTATGAATTTTTTTCGTTTATTTTTTTTTTTTTTAAAAAAAAAAAGAAAAATTTAAAAATCTTTATAAACTTCTTACCTTCTTCGTTCCGGATAAGTTCATCATGAGTTCCCTAATTTTATTAATAAAATTTATAAGTACATAAATAATGAATTGATTAATGAATTTTCATTTCTTTTTTACCTGTTCAACAACTTTTCCATCCTTGATGCTAATAAATTTACGAAAATATTATAATGAAAAATTTTAATTCCAAATTCTAATCTTCGCAAAACTTATAATCAAATAGCTTACCAAAGAATCAAATCAGCATTAATAATGGTACTCAGCCGATGTGCAATAACTAACGTTGTACGATCTTTTGTCATATTTGAAAGAGCATATTGAATTTGTCTTTCTGTAGTAGTATCAAGGGCAGATGTGGCTTCATCGAGAAGAATAATCTAATAAATTTAGAAATTTTAGTTTACGAGTATTGTATAATTTAAAGCTATTATGATGTAATACGTACTGGTGGATCCTAATATATTTTTTAAAAAAAAGTTAGAAAAATTTTACATGGAAGTTTATAAAATAATTCTTTGCATAAGAATATAAAATCAAAATCACCTTCAACATTGTCCTAGCAATAGCAACTCTCTGTTTTTCCCCGCCACTTAAACGCAACCCTCGCTCTCCCACGCGTGTTTCATAGCCTATCATAATAAAAGTCAGTTAATTTTTAATTTTTAATTTAAACCTATAATGAATATCATAATTATACAAACCATCTGGAAAATTTATAATACGATCATGAATTTGAGCAGCTTTTGCAGCTTTATAAACTTCTTCATCACTTGCGTTAACATTTCCGTAATGAATATTATAGTAAATCGTTTCATTAAATAAAACAGTATCTTGTGGTACAACTCCAATGCTTCTTCGTAAACTTTCTTGTTTGACAAGACGAATATCTTGTCCGTCTATTAATATCTTTCCTGAACCAACATCATAAAATCGGAAAAGGAGTCGAAGAATTGTTGATTTTCTACAAAATTTGTAAATAAGTAACAATAATAATAAATAAACAAAAAGACATTGTTTATAAAATTGCGGTCATGTTTATTATACTTACCCGCCACCACTAGGACCTACTAAAGCGACCGTTTTTCCTTTTGGAATTTCAAATGAAATATCCTTAAGAGCTGAATTTCTTGGATCGTACGAAAAACCAACATTATCTGTATTTATAAAAAATGTCAATATGCTACAAATTAAGAATTTATAGAAAAGAACATTTTTAATTTAAAATAAAGATTACCGAAAATAACCGATCCCTCGGTAACTTTTAAGTCTTTTGCTCCGGGTAAATCTTGAACGCTTTGTTGTTCTTTAAACAATGAAAGCATTTTTTCCATATCAATGAAATTTTGTTGGATCATACGATAATATGTACCAAACCAATTAAGCTACAAATTCCAAATAACCACATAAAATTAATATATAAAATATATTTTTAAAATAAGAAAGGAAAATTCATTATAATAACTTAAGTCAAATAGTAACCCACCGGTCCGTATAATTGATTGATATAAGTGATAAAGAGAATAAAATCACCAACTCCAAAATCACCAATAGTTACTTTCCAAGCACATAATAAACAACCTGCCAACAATCCTACAGTAATAACCAAATTCTGACTAAGATTAAGCATGTTAAGCGATGCTGATACTTTATAATCAGCAATCTGGTACTTGACAATAGCATCATCGTATCGTTTGACTTCAAATTGTTCGGCATTATAATATTTGACGGTCTCAAAATTCAAAAGTGAATCCACTAATACAAATGGAATAAGTTAATAAATATATTATCTTCAATAATTGTTTAAAACAATTAAATTATCACAAACCAGCTTTAGATCGTGCATCATTATCTGTCTCAATCATATCACGTCTGAATTGTGTTCTCCATTCCGTAATCCAAATTGTGACAAGAATATAACTTGCCATCGTGCCAAATACAATGACACCGAAGATCCAACCAAATTCAACAACAAAATATATGACAGCTACGGAAATGTCAACAATAACTGGAAAGATCTGAAATAATATTTGATTAAGTAGCGAAATGATACTATTCGTTCCTCGATCCATAACACGTAAAACTTCGCCTGTTTTACGATTTATATGATAAGCCAATGAAAGCCTAAATAAATTTGCGCGTGAGTATAAAAATCCTTACAATCATGTTTAATTATAAATTGCTTACCCATGCAAATGTTCAAACATTTTGACTGAAATTTCACGAGTTGTATACTAAAATTTTTATATTCAATTTCATTTTAGTAAGTTATTTAAATATAACGATTACGAATAAATAAATTTTTTTTTACCTGGCCGATGGGAATCCATAAATAATTTTGTGATGCTTGAATTAAACCTACACCACCTTGCAAAAACCTAAGGAATACAAAGAACGCAATAGATTTCCATACAAATCTTGCTAATTATAAATTCGTTCTTGTGTAAGTTTATTTTTATTTGGTAATACACTAGATCATTAAAATATAACTTACGTGGGTTACCATCTTCACCAACCAATTCATTTGTAATTATCTTTAATTGTTGCGGAACCAACACATTTACAATCCGTGCAGCAATTAATAAGCCAAAACATATGAAAACTAAGCATTGTAGCCAAATATTTTTTTTAGGCCATAAAAAAGGTAAAAGTTTTTTCATTTTTTCAAAAAATCCTGTAAAAGCGCCCTTTTCAGGCTCCCTTTGTGGTTGATCTGTTTGGTTATCATTTTCATTAGATGAAAAGGTGCCATAGGATGTATTATCACCAAGAAGTCCTCGGCTTGATTCAAGATCTTCTCGGTCAGAAGAAGAACGAAGAATTTGAATCAATGAAGTGAAACATGCAATTACGAGAGCAATATAACGAGCTGAAATTATATATAAAAGAGCTTG